ACACTAATGTGGCAGTGATAATAAAATAAAACAAAAAAAAAAAATGACAAGAATGTGCATAAACCAATCAATAAATTGCAATTGTGTTGTTTTTTTCTCTTTTCTTCGTAATGACTCAACATAATTTCAAACTCTGGCGGGCAAAATAACAAATTGTTGTCATGCTTCAGTCCAACCAGACCTCTAACCGCTGACTGGTGTGCATTACTGTTGAAACAACGAGCAAACTGAGACTGTATAATGATAGAGTCGGAGAGGGGAGTCAGTGGAAGCACAGCGTGGCGTCTGGGTCGGCCCGCTCCGGCTGGTGGTTAGCGGTCAGAACCCCGGTGATGGTTTCGCCCTCTCACGGTCCGACTGCGTTTACCTTCTCTATGAGATCCAGACACTCTGCGTTATCCATCCAGTCTATGGCTTCCCACTGGATCCCCTCCCTGTGCCAACGAACACACACACATAAACACACAGATGACACAATGGCTGTGTTATCCAGCATCACACATCATGAAATGAGCCATGTCCGAGCTGCCGGTTATAGGCCCGCCTCCTCTTAACTAACAGCCACATCTTTCTGTGGAACAGTCTCAGATCCGTATCTAATGTAAAGAAAAAACAGGCCTTTGTGTATGTTTTGACCTGTTGTACTCCAGCTGCTCCAACGAGAAGATGTGCTTGTTGAAGTACTCCTGGAGCTTCTCGTTGGCATAGTTGATGTTGAACTGTTCGAACCGGTTCACCTGGAAGAAGAGAAGAAGAGGTTCTGCGTCTGAAATATACAACTCCATTAGGATAATAGTTTTTTYATTTGAAAGAAGTGAGGAGGAATCACTATAAAAAATTTTCCTACTCAAATGCTTATATCTCAACACTGGATGTTTAAAGTGATATTTTAAAAATTATCTTGGCAGCAAGTGAGGAGAAAAACAAAACACAGGCTTATAAAACCCTACAGCTGACATCTTCATTAATGTTCTTAAAGATTTTTAGAGAAAATGACCTTTAATTAACCAGAATTGGGAAAATTACAATGGGGGGAAAAAAAAGAGACAAATCTTCGAAATATGACAGATTTTTATTGGTTACAGCAGTGTTTTTTCAACCCTGGTCCTCAAGGCACACTGCCCTGCATGTTTTAGAAGTTTCCCTGATTTAACGCACCTTCTTTTTCTTCTTCATATCTTTTATTGGAGGTTGGCAAACAACTTGTGGTGTGCATTACCGCCACCTACTAGAATGGAGTGTGGGTCAAAATGCTCTATTGTCTCTACTGATTATTACTATGCCTCTTTTTTTGTACTTGTATTTGTTACATTCCTTTCCTTACTTACTTTAAATAAATAAATAAATAAATA